GATGAATTAAGTTGATTATGAGTCCGCAACCCACAAAATGTTTGATGTGTCCATAATTCACCTCTCTAAGTAATTGCAAAAGATTGTTCTGAAGATAAAGTTGGCAATAAAGCCACTCTGAAAAGCATTACTGCTCAAGTATGTAATTTCAGCCCTGTTTAATATTACCTTGAGAATCTACACAACCAACCTTCACAAATGATCTTTACACTCACAGCTTCACTTCTTTCTATTATTTTTGCCTTCAACATTGTTTTGCTGTTGACAGTAAGCAGCTGTTGTGTGTCAAAAGGAAAATCTTCAAGTTCGACATTTCAATTGAATCAAATTTTATTAAGTTCCGTCATCTAATAAAAACACCAAAAGGGTTCATTCATGTTTTAACCCATCAAATTGGATTCCTATGTAATGTAATGTAATGTGTATTGATATAGCGCATTTATTGTGTATGGCCATACACCCAAAGCGCTTCACAATCATGAGGGGGGTCTCTTCACACCACCACCAGTGTGCAGCATCCACTTGGATGATGCAACGGCTGCTTAGCAACCAGCTATTTCCTAAAGGGCCACAGCTCTGTTTTGCTCCAACCCTAATCAAACACAGCTAATCAAGGTGTTCAAGACTACTAGAGAATATTAAGCAGGTGTGAGTTGCAGGTGATTGGAGCTAAACTATGCAGAGCTGAGGTTTGTACTTGGCTTGCACTTCTGTGGTCGAATCTATTCGGTCAGATTTCCCTTTCAGTGTAATGTGCCAGTTATGGTTTTATACCATCTAAACACCTTCTGGCTCAGCCATGCTCTAAACTCTCGCTATTGGTCAAGCTGAAAAATGATTGACAGATTTAAGTGGACTACTTACAAGCGCTTGGAAGTCTCAGGGTACTCACACTATGTACAGTTGCCTTGAACCAGCAAAAGCATGCTTGTCCCCCCTCCCGTGTCCCCCGATGGCCCGCATTCACATTACATTCGGGCCTGGGCACGCTTGCATCATCGATGATGTGCTGTTCAGTAAGTGCTCTCGCACAGCACACTGAAGATTTCCTTAGTTATTTGGGATGCAGTGACACGCAGTCAAATATTTTGCCTCACGTCTCGCTTTCAGTTTCAGACTCAGTTTGCACTCACACACAAGCGTACAGCGCCAAAGCCCAAGTGAACCAACCGGGCCAGGGCCCAATTCAGAGCACTCACACTTCTTAAATGATCCGGGTAACGGGCCTGGGCATGATTCGGATGGCATAGTGTGAGTAGGCCCTCAATGTTTATACTTCACAGCAAAATAAACCCATAAATGGCATATTTAGTCAAATGACAATCTCAGAGTCAGATATCCACAAACAATTGGCTGAAAATCTAATGCAAATTGCACAAAAGCTGAAAATATTTCAGTTTTTAAGTTAACATCTTATTGGAAACAAAACCATCACAGACCCAGAGTCAGCCTGGTGAAAGAAGTGGTTCTTTTTTTTCTCAAAAAGTGGACCATTTTGCAGTTATTTGGAAAATTTTCTATTTTATAGTAAGATTTAAATACAGCATTTTAGTGACATTTTAGTAGCATTTTTAGCAGAATTAGCTTGTCGGATGGTCATCATAACCACACTTTTTGATATACCAAAAATATTTCCTAAAGATTTATAGTAAAGACATGTGCAATAATACTGATTTTTAAAATACAAAAAATAAATAAATTAATTAATAAATAATAAACTGGAGCTTATTGTCAATTATTAGGCTGTTATAATAACATTGTAATTTATTATAATATTAAACAATTATAATAACAAACTGGCCAGCACATAAAATTTGAATTCGAGTTCAAAAATCTGACCATTCGAACAGTCAGAATTTGGCCATTTAAATAAAAATAATTAAAACATATATTAATAGTAATGTAGAGCTTCACTAGCCTCTCTTGTTAAAAAAGTACATTTAAAAATTCATGGATAACAACACTAAGCCAAATTAGAATTTAAATAAATTTCGATAGGATTGCTTTTGTTGCTTCATACCTTTTTATTGCTCTTCTTTTTAAGAATAAGGACCAAGATTTAGAATAAAAGTTACCTGTAAAATGTTTTCTATTTTTAAAAACAATACAGTAGCGAATGATGACTGTACTTACGTCAGATAGTAAAATGAAAATAATTGTTAGCATTGACCAAAACTGATTAGCTAAAGTCACTCCGAAGCGACAACCAACAGAGGATTCCACTTGGTCTTAAAGTCTTTAGTTTGGTTATTTTCACTGTTTACGAAAGCAACGCAGTTAAAACAGGACAAATGAGCTCATGTATGGGACAAATTCTGGACCTTAGTCAGTGAGGGGTGAGTCTTCCGAACCACCCTGGCTACCTGGCAAACTACCTCATATGGATTAAAAAAACATTGTGTGTGCCAGCTGTGACTATTAACCCTATTAACTATTGAATATTATCAGCGAAGCAATGGGTTTACGAAATCAAAATCATTTAAAATCATAGAATTGTACAGGTCAGTCTGTTATTGTTGGGGCTACGGTGTTAAATGTTCACTTGCTTTAACATGATGCTGACTAAAACAAACTGATTGGTGGCTTTACATATCAGTAAGATGGTGTCTGTGGGTTCCTGAGTGATTAAAAGCTGCAAATGAGTCTTAGGATCTGGATAAAAATAATGAAAATTAAAATGGGTTAAGAAAATGTAGCTACCAAAAAACAAAACAACAACAGAAAGATAACTTTACATTTAAGATTATGGATTTAACAGTGTGCTCATACCACTTCTCCTGCACCACAAACTACTGCCTCTAAATATGGTCTGGGAATTTCTGAGAGGCGCACATGTCTTCAGTCCATTCTTTAAATATCCTTCCCCCTTATTTTATTATAGTGTAAGTTATCCCATTACAATAGGCATTCCTTTGGTCAGTGTAGCATATAAGAATCTCTACTGCTTTATCTTTAGATAAACATATAACTAAATTATACAACAGATCTCATATAAACTACTTAAGAAAATACTATGTATTATTAAGTTTATTCTTATTCCTGCTTGCTAGGTGTTGTTTACTTCTCTGAACATAGAGCTAGTGTATCGTGCCACAGCATGGTGGCTTGTGCAATCTCAGTTGTGATTTGCAAGAGGTCTGTAATTTGTGCATTTAACGATTCTAAACAAAATGCCTTGGAGCACAGCCAAACACGCAATTAACGCAGAGAGAGAGATGGACCTCGCTGCATGGTTGGTTTAGATGCTTGCATGTGGACGCAAACTACACTGCCCTCTTAATACGAGATTTCCTGCGGGACACGTTCCATGGGCTGTTTTTCTGAGGAGGCCCATCCGGCACCCAATGTTGACATTCCCACTGTCTGTACATAAAACCAGACTGAAGCTTTAATAATTTTTCTTTCTGCAGCTGCATGCCAGTGAAAAATAAGTAGCTCGACATACTTTTAGTTTTATTATAATGAGGATGGTACTGTACTTAAAATTCTTGTCATTCTATAAAATATTATTGTAGTTGAAAATGAGCTTTTTTGTTGTTGTCTAAAAACGTGTCATTGGGAAACTGGTGGAGAGGGGTCTGAATGCAGACCTGGTGCAGTGCAATCTGAGCTGCATCAAATGCTTTTTAATGGGCTCACCTAACCCCGCCCCTAACCCTACCCATCACAGTGACATCACTCACTCTATTTGAGTGCATTGTGTCTGACACTGCATCGCTAAGTGATGCAATCTCAGCTTGCATCATAAAGGCTGCATCCAGATATTATTGAACTGGTGAGTGTTGTAGCAGTACAGTTGCAAATGTCTGAAATGTTTATGACACATAGTTGAGGTCAAAAAATTGTGTCAAGTCATAATTAATGACGCTGTTATAAAATTTATGACACAATTAATGGCTTCAAACCAATCATGTTTATGACAGATTTATGACAAGTTTTGTTGTTTTGATGTCAGATGTCAGACAAAAACAGGCTGTGATGTATTTGTTTATGTCAAGTTGTCATAAATGGTCTGATCTTTGCATTTAAAAATGTCACAACTGAGGGAATGACACAGAATGACAGCTGTGGTAAGAATTATCTCATTCATTCATTTTCTTTTTGGCTAAACGCCAAAGCAGAATGAACCACCAACTTACCCAGCACAAGTTTTATGCAGCAGATGCTCCAACTGCAACCCATCAATGGGAAACATCTTAACACACTCATTCACACACATACAGACAATTTAGCCTACACTATTCACCTGTGTCGCATGTCTTTGGACTGTGTGGGAAACCGGAGCACCCGGAGAAAACCCACACGAACACAGGGAGAACATGCAAACTCCACACAGATTGCCAACTGACCCAGCCGAGGTTGAACCAGCGTCCTTCTTGGTGTGAGGTGAACATGCTCCCCACTGCACCACCGTGCAGCCCCAGCATGATCTCAGTCACATGATTCAATATATGTGTCATGTCATGATTAGAAAGGTTTAATGACAGTTTCATGAACACCACTTCATAAAGTAGTGTTACCAAAGTTTTCAACTTTCTTCAAACATTGTGTTTTGTTTTCAACAGAATCAATTAGCCAATGATGATTTGAACCACTCGAGGAAGCGCAAATAGTGAGTAAATTGTATTTTATTGCATGAATTATACCTTAAAAGCATTGTTTTTTATAAATCAGTTGTATATGTGTGTTATGTGTTTGTGTACTTTTAGCATGGGAAGTGTGTGTGGATAGGCTATAGGATAATACTGTGATTCCTAACATGATGACAAGCCACACCATAAACCAGCTTGATTTTTACTTTCCTACCTCAAAACTGTATTTTGTCCACTTCAAGGATGCTGCCCAATGTGAAATAAATTGTTTAATAATATATATAATGATGTTGTCGCTCTCCCAGGTCTGTCTCTGGTTTGATGCTGTAAGGCGTGTCTGGCTGCTCTCCATGTGATACTGATGGGAGGAGGGCTCCTAAAAGTGAACCTACCGACCCGTTTCAACACTTTCCAAAGCAGACAACCCTCGGGACGGACTGCAGGGCGCATTTACTCGGGCTGTTGGATACCTTCTTACTTTTGAACGCTCGTTATTTGACTGAGAGTGGCGAAACAGCGACGTTATTGATCATGGGAGCGACACCATCCGTGCAGCGGGACGCGAAGAGCCCTGAAGATGCGCCGGAGGACGTCAGTGCACCGCTCAGCGACGCTCATGATGGAGAAACCGCAGATGGCAAGGTAACATAACAACTGCAAAGTGTATTGTTTTCACTCTGAGCTGGTGTTTCGGACGTATTCGGGGTTAAAACTGCTGAATGTGCTCACCTAGATATCCCCGTTCGGGACCCCTTGAGTGAGATGTGTGGCGCAGCTAGTTTTTGAGCGTCGCTTCATGTAAACACCTGATACCTCTGACAGCTGTGCCTGCGCTGCTCGCTTTTGTGATTCGGCTTTGCAGGTTTTCGAGGAAAAGCTGAAACGTGTTCATGCTTATTATTTAAAAGCTTTTCGGTCTACTTCAAGTTTAATATGTAGATTTGCAGTGTAGGCTAATTTTTAGTCAGCCAGACATACAGCAGAGGTGCGACTCATTTATTCAAGGACAGAAATATTTGATTTTATCAGTAACAGACATAACTGCATTTCTGTGCCTTTTACAATTTCCCATGATGAGTGTACATCCATAGACTGATTGGAGTCTTGACATGATACTAAAAAAAATCTCATTCATGCAAATTTATCAACAGATCTGTAACATGCTGTTAAAGATTACCAAGAGGTGTCTTTCTAACCACAATAAATATTTTACCTAAGTTCTATTAACAATGCATTTAGTGTTTTTACAGAATATCAATTTAAAAGTTGACTGGTAAGCTTGTATTATATTTCTGCAAATTTGGCATTGTGGGATGCTAAGCAACAAATGGACCTGAGTAAAGCAACAGCAATTTCCTCTTACTTTGAGTATCCTGTTATCACTCTGTTAAAGTCCACTTCGGATTTATCATTTCCCACTCACTAATGAAAGAAACCCAATTTAGAGTGACTGTCAAGTAGGAAAAACATCTCTCTCTCTCTCGTTGCAACCCATACATTTTTTATGCTTTTGCAAATGGCTTGTTTATATGGATTCGTATTTGTTTATTTATACAGTCAACTAAGGGAAAACACTCAAAAAATATGTTCTTTTTATTGACTTAAATGGTTCCTTTATTATTCATGGAGCATTTTCATCCAACTAAAGATTTTTGTTTGTTTGTTCTGTTCAACACAAAAGAATATAAAAAAGTTTTCCTGCTTTGGAGGTCAGTGGTTACAGGTTTTGAACAATCTTTAAAACAAAACTTAATTTGTGCTCGACAAAACAAAAAAACTAAAAGTTTTAAAACAAGTCAAGTCAAGAGTGAGTAAATGATGACAAAACTTTCATTTTTGGGTGAACTTTCACTTTAAGAAAGAAGTGGTGGGTCTTAATTGCAGGTACTTTTTATCTAAAAGTCTCAAATTTGTATGAATTTGTGCAAATCAGCTCTTGAAATCACCCCCTCATGAAGTAGTGTTTTCTATTGAGATCAGGTACTCAAACAGTTTTTTCACTGTTGCGTGATGCCTTGCTTAATTTAGAGACACAAATTTACACTATGCTGTTATTTCTTGTCATGTGCCAAATCACAGGGTGCATAACTTACAGCTTGGTGTTATATTACTTTGAAAAACTATGTATCAACATGACAAGAGCTAATGTATCCAGGAGAAGCTGTGGAGAAAAAAAATCAGGGATTTTCCAGGATTCAGAAAATGTTGATGTGAAAAAGTGAAACCGGGCATCTTAAGGTGCTATAATGAACAGGCATTATCACATGAGATTTCCAGTAGGATATAAATGTTTTATTTTGTCATCATTTACTCACCACCAGTTAATAAAAGTAGATTTGGTTATTATTGTATTGACTTGTCATGTATAAACCAAATAAGACTAAATATCACAATCATACGATTAATTATACAGATGTTTGGGTGATTTTTACAAAGTCATAAAAGGACAACCTTTTTCTTTCTGTATGGATCAGTTATCTAACATTTTAACAGTTTGTCTTGATCTTTTGACAATTTCATCTTATGTTAACTCAATAAAAACACATATTGATCACATTTATTATTTAAAAAATGCTTTCAGCGAGACCACAAAATAAAATTATTGACAAAGCCATTTAAGAGATGATGCCACAGTATTCATTTTACATCTTCAGAAATGGACAGGATATTTGCTTGCCTGTGTACACATCTACCAGTGGATTAAGCCCTTGGTTACAGACAATTATTTTTCAAGATTTCATGAATATGTTTGCATACAGCGCCTGCACAATCAAGTGCACATCCTTTTAAAGTATACTCCGTTTGATAGCACCCACAAACTTGTGCACTATAAAGATTCATCTTGATCCAGTATCTGTGCTATTTCTCTCCAAAAGTTATGAGTGAAGAAACTGTTTTTATTTGTTTATGTTAAAGTCCCTCACTTTCCTTTTTCCCCCTCAATCAAACTGTCTCCCAACACAATGCCTATTTTTGCCATCTTCAGTTGTTTAAACTTTAAAAGACCCGCTTCAATGTTGACAGATTGTTGAAGACTAAAACAATTTAAAGCATGTGAGCAAGCTTATAAAAATTGGCTAAGTATTAGTAAACACTTACTAATACATTTCTATCTATTCAAGTTATTGACATATTCTTATTAAATGACAATTTATTTACATTATGGGATGTTTTCAAAAGTTGTTCTCGTTTTAAGTCTTTTTATTTATAAAAACAAATGTTACATACATACTTTTTTCCGATGGAATGCAAAAACATTGAAGCTCAATATCTCAATATCATTCAGAACGCAGATAGAACCTTATAGGTGCAAAATGACGATTTGCGTGCGTGTCGTGGGCATTCACAGATGCATAAAAACTGATGTAGCCTACACTTCACGCTTTAGGTTTCAAAAGATTTAATATTTTGTAAGTTAATGCATTTCTATTTATTTATTCAAAGAGATCAACACAACAAAAGTTTAAAAGATAAACTCTACAGCTTGTATTAAAAGAGTTATGTGCAGAAATGTGTTGGGACTCATTTTGTTCCAGAGAAGAGCTACAATTTAACGTTTTGTGCCATCCAGCAAGATACAATGACCTTGCGTTTTGTTTCCTCCCAGCATGCCATTCCTCTTCTTCAGCTGTTCAGTTTCATGAAGTGCAAGATGATTGTCTCTCCAGCTGGACTTGTATACAATATTCACTTTTTTATCGACAAGAATAAACAAGCAGAACAAGCATAGATGCAGAACTAAAAGACAAAAAAAAAATGAAAATTCGGAGCACCCAGAGAAAGCCCATGTCAACACGGAGATAATATTCAAACTCCACACAGGAATGCCAACTGGCCCAGCCGGGAGTCGAACCAGCAGCCTTCTTGCTGTGAGGCGATTGTGCTACCCACTGCGTCACCGTGCTGCCCCTATTTTATACACATCAGAACACAAAAGATATTTTGTTTTGTGGTGTGTTGGTAACTTAATAGTTTTTTACTTATTTCCATTTCATCAGAAAATATATATTTTTGTTCAGATATAACCTAAACAGGTTAGGAATGACTTTAACAAACAACGACATAACTTCCTTTAGCCCTTTAAATTTAAAAGGCGTCTTAAAACCCATCCGGTTTAATGACTTTTCTGAATTCTGTGTAAGTCTAAATCTTGACTGAAACATGTCAAGGCCTGTTTGAGCTATGGAATAATCAAATCTGAGTGTTGTTATTGATCAGATAAGGGCCCTTGAACAGGTGTGGTCTGGGACAACACGAGACGCTGTCCTGTTAACAGTGTACGTGTGCGTGCGTTTAGCAATACAACATGCTGTGTATACTGCGTTTGTGTGAGGCGCCCTACTGGAGATGTGGTTGATAAACATCCTCTCTGGCACGCATAGGAATTTTAGTAATTCCTCTCCCGCTTTCACTCACACTCTCTCAAAAATGGGTCAAAACATGGATGGGGCCGAGCACCTACTCCCTCACATTTTAACATATCCTCCTCCAGAAATGCTTCCAAAACACTCGCTTTGTGAAAAAACCAACAGAGGCGGAACTTTAGCCCTCGACTCTTTTCAGAGCGTTTGCTGTAGATTCAATGGGTAAATCCTCAACTCAGTCGCAAACATAAACTCACAATAATGCCTGTGTTGGCCTTGCTGTGAGATACACACTGAGGCCTTTTTCCAAACCTACAATACACTGATTGACAAGTTCATAAACAGCCTTTAGCTTTCGAACAGATTCACTGTTTTCCCCACGCTTAGCTTGTGTAAACTTATTTAACGTTACGAAGGATGGGATAAAACTCTTTATATGTCTGCGAGGTAATGAGAGAGGGGTGCTGTGTGAGCGTTTGCCATCAGATAAGAGCCTCATAAAGGATGGGACCCGAGAAGAGGGGGAGGAGTGGAGAACAAGGAGAACAGAGGGCCCATTTAGGATGTGCTGGAGGACAGGTCCCGGGGCAGAGGGGTGCTGTGTGCGCATCGGCCCGAAGAAAGAGAACCAGAGAGAGAGAGAGTGAAGCGAGGAGGGGGACGAGAGAGGATGGTGGCTGGTTTGAATGGGAACATATCATGTAAGAGAAGTGAAAGAGAGGTCACAGCTTTAGCATGTGCTTTACTGTTGCTGGTGGGATGAGAAAGGTGAACTAGAAATAAAGAGGAAGGACAAAGCTAATGAACAGATATTGAACCAGATGTCGTGCCAGTTTTCTTGGAGTCATATTGAATGCTGGTTGTGTTTTGAATAAAGGGTAAACTAGAAGAGAACTTTTTGATTTTCATGATCATGATATCAAGTCAGTTGTGATATCTTACCTATGATTTTTATAACTTTAACAATGAGGATCAAAGTGATAACATTAAGCATTATAAATAATATATATTGCATTTCTGTGATTATTTTAATAAAAGACAACAGCTTCTGTCTAGTTACCAACATGCTTTAAAATAACCTTATTTTTTGAGGAGTTATCATCAGAAAATAAAGATAGTTTAGGAACAACTTCGGGTATGGCAAATCATCCCATTTTATTGAAATTCATGAGGTCCTTATTCTGCACACTGCAATTTTTGGCTTTAATCACAGGCTTGATTAACACCAAATGCCTGCTGTCATAATGATTACACTGACTTGTGTTTGGTGACTCCTGC